AAACATTACATATTATATTTTTCCATTTGTTCAAATGCAGCTATTAACTCAGAAGAAATGTTCTTTTTTGGTGACCAAAAAGGTTCCCGAATAAAGGCTGTTTTGCAATTTGATTGTTCATAGTTGAAATCATTGAAATCTACGTTAAAAATATCATTAAGTGGGTTATAATTGTGGTCTATTTCACAGAGCATTTTTTCGTATATTTCCTGTTGATCATGATATGTTAGTTGTCTTGATAATTAAAATGCTCATACTGCATATAACACATATAACACTTACTAATATGTGTTTAAAAATCCTGACTGTTGATTTTAATTTTCTGATCTGCGATAACTTGGTAGGCAATTCAAATGTTGCACCCGGGAAGATAATATAAAAACCGTTTACAAGATCTTCTACTAATAACTGTCCATAAATTCCTGAAATTTGCAAGAAGGGAACCTTTATGGCTTCTAATTGTTCATTAGTAATGCCTAATTTCAAGATTGATTGGTTGACCCTTGCCGATCTGCATCGATCTCCAATCGCTTTTATTGGAGTCACTTGTGATGAGAACTCCCACTCTCCTATATCTAATCCTGTGGAGCTTAAGAAACGTACATCGCACCTTCTCCCTTTTACATAAGTCGGCGACCGAATCGCAGGGCAAAAAGACTCGCCCCTATACATGCATGTTTTATAATTTAAATTTTATACACATTTAAAAATTACAAAAAAAGTACGTATATATATTATACCATTTGCAGGTTATTCCTTTTTTAAGCCCTTTTATGATATAGTAACATGCTTTGACTATTATATCGATTTCGGTACAGCCTTCTTCACCATTCAACAGATTATTGCCATCTTTAACTTCAAAAAGGCTAAAAGCAATCAATATTAACTAGATGAACTACGAATATTTAAAAAATAAAAAACAAACAATAAATAAATACATACAATTCAGCATAAATTTGCTAATATGATATATGCATGTATTTTTTTTTTGAATTTAGATGTGTTTCAAGGCAGAACTTGTAGGCTTTTTATTGTTATCATTAAGATGGTTATTATTACCATTAAGATGGTTATTATTATTTGGATGATTGTTGTCATCAGAACTCTCAGGGTTATTATCACTATTGTGTTCATAATGATCAATATTATTCTAGAGATTTACGTTATTAGGATCAATACCAAGATCATCACTCTACTTGAGTTATGATTATTTAGATTATTATCGTCACTGCAGTTGTCACTTCGATTCATTTTGGACTGCCTATATAAAAATGAAAACCATATATAAAATGAACAAATTAAATAATATTTGTCGCGGATGATCTTGAAATCGGATGATAGTGAAATTTGGGGTCTCAATTTGAAAATATAAGCCTTATCCTTACCTTAACACTAACCCTAACATTTGACGGTATTTTTTTAAAAAACAATATAAATAACGAAAAAAT